AAATTCTGGGACAACTGATAAAAATTGATCAGCCGAATTCGATAAGTTTTTAGATTCAGTGTTATCGAATTACTGTAATGCCGAAAATCCAATTCCGATAACACCGAATTCAAAAACTTATCGAATTCGACCGAAATAAATTTTATCAGTTGTCCCAGAATTTATGAGAACAGCTTTAATAACCGGGTGGGTTTTAAAAAAAAATTTTTATAAAACTTTTATAAAATTTTATATATGAAATTTAAAAAAAAAAGCCGGCCGACCGGATCTATTTTTAAATTTGATGTTATGAAAGCCAAGTAATGGACTTAATTGTAACATAGACTAATGTTAAAAAAAAATGAAATATAACTACTAAAGCAACTTTATTATATAAGTACTATGCGTACAGTACGTACAGTACACACTGTGCGCTAAAAAAATTTGGACATCATATAAATGGCACATCACTAGATGTACTTAATAACGGTTATTTAAGAAAAATAAGAGTGATGATAATTTTTATGATACAAAAGTAAGATGAAAATATATCGTACACTTCATGAATAAAGTCACAAGAACGATCAAATGGGATAATTTAAGTATCGAAATTAATTTGTATAAAAGGTTCTTTTAGTTTTAACTCATCTATTTTATTTGTTTTATCTATATATTAGAAACTTTTATTGAAGCAGAGTCAAGAATTAACTAAATACATTCAAATTTTCACAGTTACTTATTATCATGCAAGTTAATTTTTTTTTTTTTTTTACGTGCACATAGTAACAAAAAGCAACATAGTTACGCAATTATCTAATTAACTACCTTATTTAAAATATTTAGTTAGATAAAATTTTGAAATCCTTCTAAAGATCGCTACAAGATTTTGGAAGATCTGCAGGGCATTCTGTCTTTGCGAAACTAATACTATCAGATTTCCCACCAACTTCGAAACAGGAACTTTCATTGACTTTTTTGATGGATAAATTGACTTTTTTACCATTCACGGTATGAACTACCATATGAGGACAATACGGCTGATTACCTGGTATATTATCGCGTTGTGATACCATGCAAGTACCAGTACAATCTAACGTGCCTCTGTCAAATATTTTAGTACCTTTACAATCCGTTACATAACCATGACATGTCGTTCCCGCTTCCAGAGTGGAAATGACGATCGAACTAAAGAAGCTTCCTATATATAATATAATAAAATATTAAATCAAAGTATTAAAATAGATTATTATCGTCCATTTTATCAGTACAGCAGTATTCAAAGTATTACCTTGACCATCAACGATGTTAGCTACCAGGCAACATGCGATTAAGACAGTAAAAATGAGAATATGGAATTTCATGATGAAGAATAAATTATTGTTTCTCAGCACAAAATATATTTTGCGTTTAATTTAGCGTTCCGTTAGGAATAGGATTAAAGTTAGTGTTAAAAGCTTAAGGGTAAGTACGAATGTAATTGTAATTAGATGTAGAACTAATCTGACGCGAAATACACATGTATATATACTTTTTTTTTTTTTGAGATGGTCGAATACATTATTTTCGTAAAGTTACTATAAAATTGCTGCATCGTAAAATGACATAAGAGTAAATGTTAAATCATTTGAAAATCATTTGTAGTTAATGTTTCAATTGCTGAAAATCAATAATCTAAATTCATTTTCCATTAAGTTAATTAATGGACGTTTAAATTACCAATAATTAAATTTATTTTCTGTCAATGGACAATAATTAGTGCAGTAATGATATTGGTTATAGTTTTTTAACGGTGCCTGTAGATTATAGTTGTTAGACGAAACCATGTGATGATAATCATCACCTGTCATAAAATACCAATACCTAAAAATTTAATCTAGTTTTTATTAAATAATGATATGTGACATTTAGCATCACATGGTTTCGTCTAACAACTAT